GGCCTGGGCACTGTCCCTGCACTCTTAAGCTCAAGGCAAATGCTCTACCACTTGAGCCACAGCACCACTTCTGGTTTTCTGGTGGTTTGTCAGGGATAAGAGTCTCACAGACTTTCCTGCCCAGGCTTACTTTAAACTGCGATCCTCAGATCTCAGCCTCCTGAGTAGCCAGGATTACAGGCATGAGCCACCAGCACCCAGATCTAACAAACTTTATAAATGACATCCCGAATTGGCAGTAGATCGGTATTTCAAAATAAAATTTCAGGATTTTTTAAATGTCTCCAGAACATTGTAAATGCCACAGCTGTTTTATGCATACTATTATACATCAAAAGTTCATATAGAAACACTCCTCTAATGAAAGTTTTACATCATTTTATTCTCTCCTTCAATTCACATTTTATACTAGCTTTTCTATAGGTTTATATTTGAATTTTTTTATTCTGGTTTTTTTTGTGACAGTATAGATATAAATACTGATTTGCATTCTATAGCCATAAAACAAAATATTTAAAACTTTTGGTGTATTATTATTAGTATTTGGTACAAATTCATTATTAGTCTGGTAAAAAGTTATTGAACACCGAATTGTACTTTTCAATGACTTACCTCTCTTAAAGAGACAACCCATATGAGAAGATCTTTGTTCTGTGTGTTTGGGGGAATGGACATAGCTATTCCTAGAAAAAGAGTAAGCACAAGTTATAAAGAAAGAAAAGTGGACTTGGGAGAGAAAAACCCTCTGTCACAGGGAGGAAGGGAAGTGCCAAACACACAGGAAGGAGAACGTATTTGGTTAATGTTAGCTCTTTTGTATAAAGATCTCTTCGAACAGAAAGAACAAATGCAGGTTGACAGTTTCTGTAAAACTTTCTGTGAACACACAGCCCTTGGGTTATTCAAATTCCCATTCACAAAGACAATGGTCCAAGGAAATATGCTGTCACAAGCAAGAAATCCCAAGGGGAAAAAATGGAATGGACAACATGTTGAAATAGAAGAAAGGTTAAAATAATGGGCAATTTTTTTCCAACTGAAGCATTTTTAAGAGCTGTACTTACTCCTGATTTTAGATATGTCTTGAATCATGATTAAAGAAGAGTCAGGCTCCAAGGGCTTACAGCTGTAATCTTAGCTTCTCAGGAAGCTGATGTGCAGAGAGGATCTCAGTTTGAAGTCAATGGAAGCAGAAAAGTCTATGAGATTCCCTCTCCAATTAATCATCAAAAAACCAGGCTGTAGGCATGGCTCCAGTGTTAGTTTGCCAAATTTGAGTGAAAGAGCCAAGTGAGAACGTGAAGCCCTGAGTTCGTCTTAGTATTGGTAAATAATAACAAGAACAAACTTTAAAAATATATCTTTATGGTGGTCACAGTTTCTTGATGAGGAGACGTATGAAGAGATATACAAATCAAAAAACGGAATATTCCAATGCTCTTCGTCCGGGGAGATGGCATTGTGCTGGTTGCCCCTCCTCTGAGAGTTGGCTGAAACAAAGAACTTATCACATGTAGAAAGTAGGAGGCTGTAAAATTGCAGTTGTACAATGTACAAGACGCTCAGAGAAAGAAGCCTGCTTGCTTTTTGATATTAAGACATGATCAACGACTCTTCTGCTCCAAGATGAGTTGATCTGCAAGTGACTACAATTTCTTCAGCTGAACTCTTACTTTTCTCCATTTGTGCTAATAAACATGATCACCAAAAAATATATATATCTTTAGCACTAGGTACAGGTAACTCTGGTCTGTCAATCTAGCCACTTGAGAGGCTGAGATCTGAGGATCATTGTTCAAAGCCACCCCAGGACAGAAAGTCTGTGAGAATCTTAACTGGAGAATTAATCACCAAAAAAACCTGGATGTTCAGCTGTGGATCAAATTGTAGAACACTAGCTTTGAGTAAAAAAGCTCAGAGACAGTGCCCAGCTATGAGTGCCTCAGAACCAGCACACACAGACATAGACACAGAGATAGACAGACAGACAGACAGACACATACACACACACACACACACACACACACACACACACACACACATGCATCTTTAACAATGTAGGTAAAACTATCCTTCAGATCCACCATAAATTGGCATGAAGTATAGAATACCCTTATCATGCAGTGGCTTACATTCTAGTAGGGAAGATAGGCAGACAGTGGATCCATGATGCCTATTAGCTATGACAGAGCAGCCACTGATATAGCAAAAATGAAGAATACAGGGAAGAATGGATGGTTTCACAATCACTCAAATAACAATGACATCCAAACAACTAACAGTGATCAGAGAAACAACCACCAGGCACAATAATTCGCTGGGCAGAAACATGTGGAGTTGAAAGCAATTTGTTCAGAGTTGAACACAGAGGTTTCAGAGTTTCCAGCGTAAGGTGTAAGGTGAAAGCATACTGTGAGGAGACCAGAGCAGGAACAGAGATTAAGAGGAAGCCTGGACATCTTGCCAAATATTTTAACAGACTTGTGAAAAGAAACCATTAACACAGGCAGGGTTCACTCTTGAGAGCAATCTGACTGTACTGTGAGTCTGGAGACGGGGAGGTTCATGAAAGACTATTGTGTAAGAATCAACTGATAAGACCCTGAACGAAAGTAGTAAGAATAGTTCTAGAAATGAGGCAAGTAAAACAACAGGATCCTGTTGATGGACTAAATATGTGAGAAAATACACTAGGATAATCTCTAGTTTTAAAAAGTGATATTATTGAAGAGTAAACTCACAGATAGGAAGTCCAGAGGTAAGAAGATCTAGGTCTGGTTGATTTGGGTTAATTCAATACCTTAACAACACAATCAAGAATGTAGTTCTAGTAGGTGTCAGTGGCTCACACTATAAGCCTAGCTACTCAGTAGGTTGAGATCTGAGAATCAAGGCTGGAAGGAAGCCCAAATAGATAAATACCAAAACTCTTGCTTCCAACTATCCAGAAAAACCCAGAAGTAAAGGTTTGGTTCAAATGAAAGAGGTCAACTGTGAGTAAAAAAAGCTAGAGCACGAGGCCCAGGGAACAAGCTCCACTATTAGTACAAAACAAAATGAAAGAAGGCAGGCTGGCCTGCAGGGAGAGATGGAGAGAGGGAGGAAAGAAAGGAAGGAGGAGAGAAAAGAAGGGTAAGAGGGAGGGGGAGAGAGAAAAAGAAAGAAAAGAAGAAAAGATAGAATGAGAAGGAGGGAAGAAAGGAAATGGAAAGGAAGAAGAAAGGAAATGAAGTTGCTTTCCATTTTGAGCTCTATGTTACAAGTAGACTTCCAACCTTCTATTTGTACTTCATGATGGCTACCATAGTCTCTGGCATTAAATCCTTTATAACCACAAGCAAAAAATAGAGTAGAAACTTCTCCTGGCACAGCTCTTTTTAGCTGAAAATGGCATTCTTCCCTGGAATACAATTCATCACAGTTGTACTATTACCCATGTCTACATCAATCAATTCCAAGAAAACAAGTATAACCAAAGGCTTAAATAAACCAACTTTCTCCTCTGAAGTATGTGGGGGTTTATGGCAAAATTTAGAATCCTATAGATTAAGCAACATGGTAGCAAGAATGAATAAGGACATGGCTAGTAAGTGAACAAGGTCTGGTCTCTCAGCTTTCTCACCAGAACACTGCAAGATGTGCAGTCTGTTGCATAGGAAGTGCATAGGAAGTGCATAGGGGTTATAGGGGAGAGAGTAGGTAGAATGACATGTCAATGTGAAGTTTCTTAGTGGGCCTTGGCTCTGTTCACTGTGTCATGAAACACAGGAGCGTGAGCAGGGTTGGAAGGACAAAATAACAAGGTGGGTTTGATCCAGCACACAAGGAATTTTAAGGTATGTTGAGACATCCAATTGAGATGACCAGAAAGTCTTCTGAAGAACCAAAAAGAAATCCTAGATTGAGCATAAACATTTTCTCAGGATTGTTTTACTTAGATATGCTTATTTTCTACTTCATAACTTGATTATTCTCCTTTCCCCATCCTCCTCCCAACAAACGCTTAATAGGAGGGCTGTATTTCCAAGTATCTTTATGTAAAATGCTCACAATAGTCACAGAAATATTTTATTATTCATTTTATTTTCATATAAATTAACATCCTAAAAAATTGAAATAGAAACACTAAATACAGTATTGCACATAGCGATCTTTGTTAAATGCCCTATTACTTCATTGAAGAATGGTAATATGTACATCAGAGAGACTGAGGGGAAAGGAAGGTCAGAAAGCAACAACTGACAAAAACCACAACTGCTTTCTGGCACTTAAAATACAAACAAAAGGTGAGAGACCATATTTTACATAAATACATAGTTATGATTTAGAGCTTTTTTTCTGTTGAAGTTGCTTTCCATAGTTGGTTTTCAATAGCGATACCATTCTCCCCTTTTCTGTATAGCCATAACTCTCGACTCATATCTCAACCCAACAGCCAATATCATTAACAGCAATTAGAGAACAACTATTAATATTAGACAAAACCACCACAATGCATCATGAGCTGACTTCGAACTACTCTCAGAAAAAGTAGGAGATTTTTCCATTTTAATCCTGGAGACTCAGTAGCTTTGCTCTCATTTTGTAGCTCTAACTACCCACCACAACATAGAATGTCCAACTCTACCATGTCAAAATTCTGAGACAGACAAGCTTATTTAATAGGGTGCAGGTCTAGGTAGCTCTGATCTCTGTTCTGTTTTGCTGATGAGAATTGGTCACTGTGGCAATGTTATGAGTACTGTTTATTGAAATCCCTTCTAAACACTAGTGATACTGTATGTGTGTTTAAAGGTGAATAGTATAGGCACACCTCTGATGTAATTTACCAGGCTGCATACATGCTTCTCACAGGGCATCAAGAGACAGGTTATGGAGAACAACCCAAGAGATGGGACAGCAGTGATTATGATATATAAATGGTACTTGTCTTCTAAAATAGAAAATGACGATGTAGATGTGAAATGGGTACAAACAATTCACCAGAAATAACATTGATTCACATGTCTTAAATGCATAGATGGTGTCCTGGTTGCTCATTAAAAAAAGTGATTTTGCTGTGACAAAGAAGAGTTCCATGAAACTGAATTGTAGGTTAATGTTTAGCATGTTCAGAATTAATGCAGATACTGCCTTTCATACATGCCGTTCGGGTCTGCCAGTATAATATACCATGAGCTTTTACAAAAAGAAGTGAAAATTTCCACTGTTCTAGTGATTTTTGCATTTTAAATGAACATACAGTAAAATTCAATAATCAGTGAACTGTCTAGGAAATACAAATATTATGCAGGAAGTTAAGAAGAAAAATTATCAGAGTGATGTGATTTCCTTCCCATCCTCAAGTCAGATGAATTTTGGAGAAGTGGCTGTTGTGACTGTTTCATTTTGCTGTCAGAATTCATGTTTTCATGCTTATCTTTGCTTTCTGGAAACAAATATACAAGAGTTCTAGTTAGGAAGAACATTTTTTAAAAAGTAAGCTATTCAGAACCCTCCAAACAAGACCTTTTGGCTTGAGTTATATTTCTCAAGAAAAATTAAAAAAATGTACCAGTCCATATAAAAAATACATACACACATGCATATATACATGTAAATACAGGATGTTTTTCACCTTTTAAAATTTTCATCAAAACCAATCACCAGCCAGACACCACTGGCTCATACTTGTAACAGTAGCTACTATGAAGGCTGTGCTTTGAGAGTCCTTGTTTGAAATCAGCCAGGATAGAAAAGTTTATAAAATTCTTTTTCCTATTACTTAGCAAAAAAAAGCTGTGCTGAAAGTATGACTCAAGTGGTGGAGCACCAGTCATACCCGAAAAAAGCTAGAGAAAGTTCAAAGCTCTCTGTGTTTGAGCCCTTTGCAGCTGCCTTCCCCTCACACCAAATTAAGTTCTAACTGATGTCAAAGAATGCTAACATGTGTTTCTCACCGGGGATCCTACATACAAATACGTAAATATGAAATCTGAACCAAGCTGTCTCATTCCAAGTTCAATGAAACTTAATTCTCTTCTATTCTGATTGCAGCTTGAATGATGTTAGCCAATGAATAGTTATTCCTCCTTATTTAGTACTTCAATCAGAAAAAAGTACAAAAATAATTGGTCATTAGATAAATCTGAAAATCTGAGAGGAAAATACCATTTATTTTAATGTCTTGGCAATACTGAGCCTTGAACTCAGCACCTCATAGCCCATGCAGTGAATACTCTATTGCTTAAGCCATGGGCCAGCCTTGTGTGGCCTTAGCTGTTTTTCAGAGAGGGTATTGCTTTTTCTCCCTTAGGTTTGGCCTTGGACTCTGATCCACCAATTTTGGCCTCACACAAGGTTACAATCATTGGCACATACTATCACATCAAGCTTTTTCTTTTATTGAGATGGGATCCTTCTAAATTTTTGTTCATACTTGTTTTGAGTAACAATCCTTCTGATCTCTGCCACCTGAGTAATTGGGATTACAGGCATGAGCCACTGCAGATAAGTGGAAAATAGTTCTTAACTGAAGTTGTCCTCACTTTTTCTAACTAAGACTATTTGACCATATCTCAATTTTCTTAATCTTAAAATCTTAAATCTTTTCCATTCGGACAGTTAACACTTAACCCAATTCAGCAGGCTCCTCTTGGATGTCTAGCTTAACTTTCACTTAGAACTATACCATTTACTTACAATGGTATCAAGTCATGATTACTTCAAAACATTCTACAAAACCTCACCAGTATCACAAGAGGGAAAATGTCAAGCCCTTCCCTCCCAGGGTCTGCAGTGCGGTATTCTATTTTAAATGAGTGAGAGCAAGGAAGAAACTTGGGTCTGCCTATTCAAGTTAATCTATAGACCGACAGCTTCAGACAGCAGCGTGTCAGAGCCACTGGGTTATAGATGGCATTTGGGCACAGTAGGCCAAGCACAACCCTGGGTATGTGGCTATTCCCAACCTGTTTAAGATTCCACTGCAGGGAATCTCACATCATAGTCACTCTAGGTTCAAATTCAGCCTTGGGCCAAGACCTGTGAGTTATGAAAAAAGGGGAAGGTGGCTTCTGGCTCTCAGCGTACAAAGTACATAAGACCCTATGCTTAGATTCATCTGAATATTTACGTTTCAAAGACCAAACAATTTCATCCTAACCTCTGGAGCCCAGTAAGAGGCTGAACAGAATGGTTCTTGAAATTGGAAGCTCAATTTATGTGTATATATATATATATATATATATTCTTACATACATATGTTTATACAATATAATTTGTATATAATAGTTAAGTAGGATTAAGTGATTAAAATTAAATACTCACAATTCCAGAGTCATGCCTTGGTTTTATTTTATAAAGTGATTTTCCTTTTTTCTGTCTACACACCTCTTCAGCCTCTTTTACTCTGAGGAGGGAGAAGATAACTCAGTTAAACAAATACCTACACAGATGATCATAACTGGCAGCAAGTCTCAACTCAATGAAGCTTTGAATTGTTGGAGAAGAAGAATAGTATCTGATACTTGACGTCCAAACATACACTGTTAAAGATATAAAGGCATATTCACATTCAGGCTTTCAACATCTGTACAAGGGAGAGTATTCTGAGATTGTCTCTACTACCTGATTGATAGTAGCACCACTACATAAATTAGAATCAATAAAAGAATCACAGCAGCATATGAACAATCAGTTGCATGCTTACTTGAAATTCATTTTCCATAGCTTCTCTACCTATGAATAAAAGATCTTTACAACAACGAGGGGGTAGTCTTTAAACATTAAATATGATTAAGCAAAGGAAGTTTTTATCATTTATTTGATAACATAAATGAAGTAAGACAATCCCACAAAGAGAAGTAGTACATGTCTTCTCTTGTCTGTGGAAACCAAGGGAACTAAAATGAAACAAAGCTCATAAGTTTATAAAAGGAAGAGGGAGGCAGAAAGGGAGGAGAGAAAGGTACCATAGAGTAGTATCGCCTCAAATGGTAGTAGGAGGAAGAAGGAAAGGAAAAGAAGGATTAGTGGAGATGAAAAGCAGCCATAGAGGGGTGAATAAGATCAAAGCCTAGTATATGAAACATGTGGAAATGACACCATGACTTAATACATGCCAACCAAATTTTTTAATTGAGAAAGATGCAGCAATGACTTTTCCACAACTTCTCAAGCTTTCATTTAGTACATACACTGTAAGGAAAATAACATTGTTATTTGACACTAGTAATATCGTAATACCTTTAAACCTCAATCGATGCAAATAATGAAAGCCTCATCATGTATAAAAGCATAACTCTTTTTCTATGCATAGTAACATGGGTAATGCATTAAAGAAAAAATATAATTTCACTTACAAAGTCTTTTTAAATTAAAAAAAGACTATAAAAAGTTATAATTATCTTTTTAATAAAAAGAGTAAGACATATATTAGCTGAGAATCTTAAAAAGATCATTAAGAGGAAGAATCATTCCTTCTTGTGTGCCTTCCTGCCTGCCTGGTGCTTGGACTCAGGGCTCAAACTCTACTTGGCTTTTTCATTCAAGGCTGGCTCTCTACCACTTGTGCCACACCTCCACTTTTGGCTTTTGGATTGTTTATTGAAGCTAGGCATCTCACAGATTTTTTTTGCCCAGGGTGGCTTTGAGCTCAGATCTCATCCTCTTGAGTAGCTAGGGTTGCAGACAGGAGCCATCAACACCAGTTTTATTTTATTTTCTTGTGATTTTTTTTTTTTGCTTTAAAACATTAGAACATTAAACAAGCTGTGGCTTTATCTTAAGAAAGTATATTTAAAACAGATCTTGTAGTTTCATTTCTTGAAATAGATTCGTTATGAATCTATTTCTTTCTTAAGCGCTATGGCAAACGATCTGATGACAGCATTTATCTCCTGTACAACTGACTGGATCCTTTTCATTAACAGGGAAACAGATTCTAGGTTAGCACCTCTATATTGATGTCACAGTGAACCAGAAAGCAGGACAAAGGAAAATAATTCCTTTTAGAGGTAAAAATTCCTGCTGGGTTGACATTGTTAATAATTCCAGAAAAGGATGATACTCCATTGTTACCACTTTCTACTTAAGCTATAAATTGCCTTTAATCCTTCCCCTAAACTTTGCAAGACAAAAGCATTTTCTTTATAACAAACTGAGGAAGACTGTTCATCTTCCTGTGAAGTATCTGCCAATAAATTTAATCTGAAGTGTTTGGAGAGGGAATTAAAGAAACTTCAGCATTTAGCAAATGTCAGAAAGATCCCCTCTTAAATTTATTTGGAGATCTTTATAGTATTTTGTGGTTTAAAAACAAAACGAAATTGTTCTTCACAACTATTTAATTCTCCCCTAATGTCCCAACCTTCTCTCTACCCTATTTATTTTATTGTTAAAACACATCTTTGGAAGGATCACAGAAAGCTGATTCTAATACAAATGTAATTAATTTTACATAAAAGCAAATCCAATCACTCCTTAGGGCACAAAAGCTGCAATGGAGGAGATAGTGTGTCAAGGATCCTCACAGGACCTAGTTGCTCACCCACTCATTTGACAGTGATCTCCAAAGCTGTGACTCCAGCCCCGGCTCTGGCTGCAGATCTTGTTAATAACTTTGTAAGAATAATTAATATCTCAACCTCTGATAAGCAAGTAAATAACAATGGCATGTTTAGGACAATCACCTAAGTTTAAATAAACTACAGCTGAATTCCAAAGCAGGTTATTTTTAGATTGGTGGGTAGGAGTTATGAAGATATCTTTCTGGAGTCTATTGATGGTTGAGTCTTGTTTCAAGAGAAATCCCAATTGTGCATACTACAAAAGGAAAAATGGATGGAGGGTGAGGGAAAAGAAAGAGCATGTATGCAATAGTTGATCAAGAGTCAAAGGACCCCTTCCGACCCTTGAGAACTGTGACTAATTCCCTTCTACTGCCATTAGATCCCACTGTATTGGAGTTTAATTGCAAAATGGCTTTCTGGGTTATGCCTCAGTTTCCTACGTCTGACTAGGATGTCAGTTATCTCGTACTAAGCACCTATAGACATGGAGACATAAGGTACTTGTGAGAACTGGCAAATGGAGCAGCAGAATGAATAAGTTGCTCTCTTACAGTTCAGGAGTGAACGATTCATAAAGAACTTGTTTAATGAAGCTCTCTAGGCCAATTCTTACCTATTCTGACTTCAACCACCCAGGTTATACTTAGAAACAGCAATCGGGAGAATCAGATAAGGTAGGGATAGGGAGGATGCTGTGAGCACCACCTTGAGAAAAAGCACCTAGTAACTGAGATATTAACACTCTCAGAATTCCATATGCACAACTGAATGACTTTCCTGAATAAGGCTCCCTATTTAGCAGTTGGCAAAGCTAGACCACAAAACCTTGATTACTTCAGCCCTCAGTGAAGACTACTACTTCTGAGCTTTCTTAGCAAATGTTACTTTGTTTCCAAGTACTCATGAGATTTCAACACAACTCTGAGAAGAAAAATTTTTTTCCCATAATTGAACAAAGGAAAAAAAAAGAATGTGCCCATGTTCAGGTTATACAACAAGATACAGTTGACAAGAAATAAGGAAAATGATGAGAAGATGGTATGAAGCTGTTGATCTCAGCGTCTTCCCACTTGGGCTAGTAAGCAGATACCACCAGCTGCCCTACAGAGGGATAATGACTGAAGGCTATGAGCTTTCCATCCATCCCATGGTCATTTTATGAATTTGTACCAAAGACAAGTGAAGTAGCATGGTGTGAACAACCTCTCAAACTAGAAATCAAAACAGCCATATCAAAACATGCCTTTTGAGGAAGAAGGAAATAATAAAGAACAGGACTAGGTTTACAAAGAGAAAAGGTGTCATTGTGGACAGAGAGAGCATTGGGAAGGGTGCCTGTTAGTGGGCTGAAGCAATCAGTCTACAGCCTGCCAACTTTTGTCTCACTTGAGTCTAACTTCCAGTATAGAGGAATCCATGAATGCTGTGCAGGGACAGAGAATAGTTCATAAAGATACTTCTTTTTTATTTCAGTGTGGTTATATTACCATAAAGGGGACTTCCAGGGTATTTGTTAACCAAGGTTTCACACTCCCAATAAGCTAAAATGGAAACCAATCATTAAGGGTGACATCTGTGTAGGTCATTAGCATACATGTGACTTCTAATCATAGGATAATAAAAGTAAACAACACTCAAATAACTTTTAGTGACTGGTAAAAGCTAAACTACAACATAGGAAACAGACTAAAAAACAGGAAACAGAGCCTTATATTTTAAAAGGAAGAAACTGATACCAAATGGCAGTTAACAGCCATTAATTTTTTGTTATTATTTTTCTGTAGTATTCTTGATTGTCTTCAGAATGGATAAAACTTTGCCTATTAAATCAAAGGTCTACATTTATTCCTTCAATAGAAGACTAACTGAAATGAGGCCTTCTTTGTAAGAGGGTAAAGTAATCTTTGTCCAAAAATAAACTGTAGCTTTGAGAAAGCTCATTTAAAAAATTACAATGAGTAAATGAGTGAATCCCAGATAATGAAAACTTTTTTCCCTTCAAATACCAGTCTTTACAAACAACCAATTTTGAGACAAAATAGTATCTTCATGAACAGCCTGATATAAACTTATACTTCTTAACTTGTGTTCACTGTTATAAATGTGCTACAAACGATGTTCACCCTTGTCAAATTCCTGAGATATTTAAGGTGCCCACACTGGACTCTGGACTTTGCTCCCTCTGTGTGGACTTTGGACAGTTTTTATTTTGTTCTCAGCTGGCAGCCCAGCCCCTTCTCCTTATAGCCAGCACACTTGGCTTAAGATGACCCTTCATCTTCCTGTAATAATTTCAGTTTTCTCTCAAAGAGAGAACCAGATCCCTAAGCTGACTTAAATGGTGCTCCCAAGTAGCACATTACAACGCTTGTTTAGTTCTAGCAAGATGACTGGCATTTCTGGACGAGTAAGTAGTAATTTGAACTGTCACAGGTTTTTTGTTTTTGTTTTTTTTTTGGTTGTTTTTTTGTTTTGTTTTGCTTGCTATTTTTGCCAAATCACACATACTTTAGTGTGGCAGAGCTGTTTTGGGGAGTCTTGAGGGAGACTTACTGGTAATAGCACATTAAAAGTGTAAAGATTGAAGAACTCAATCTTGTAACCTAATTAGATTTCACCATTTGACCTGCTTATTCAGCAACTTGGCCATAAATACAAAGGAACACCTGAAGGTTTTTATTCTTTTGATAAGGAATGTGATACTACTGATTGAAATGTTAGGGTACCCAACTTGTCAAAACATGCTCAGCTTAAAAACAGTGCTGAAAACAATGAGAATAGGAAACTTCATCATCCCAGTAAACAATTAGATAGATTATTCAGGCAAAAAGTCAAAACA